TAATTAGTGTTGTCCCCGTGAGGGAAGTGTCGAAGTCATACGACCCCTAGTGAAAGAAAATTGTTTTTTTTTCGCATTTTGTTAGAGGAAAAATATTTTTCCATTACAAAATATCTCGACATCCTCTTCCTCTTCAATGCTGGCCGCTTCTACCATCACTCGTTTCAATACTTTATCAATTTCATTTTTCTTTTTCAATATGTCAAAAATCAATTTCAATTTTCGTTCTTATATGAGAGCGTGTTAGGAAGTTACAATTTTATTATATAAAGAACTTAATGCACCGATAGCGTTTGTATTATTCCTTCAAATTCTTTCACCTTGAGCGATGATGCTGGCAAATAAAAAACTTGATAAAGATTTTTCTACTACACACTTTTATAACTTGATGATGGATGGGTTTTTTTTTCTTCTAAAGGAGCATCTTATGACGATGAAATGACTATGCTAAAATTAAAAAGTAGAACAGCATCGTTTGCTTCGAGATAGAAAAAAAAAGATCAGATGCACCACTTAATACAGCTTACAGCAAATAATACCAGAGTTTAATTATATGAATTATAGCACAATCATCAGAAAACTATTTTTAGTATAAAAATCATCTTAGCATACAAATAGATGTAGATACGCATTAAATGGCAGAAGATTTCTACGAATAGTTTTCATTTTTTTTTTATTAGTCAAAATAATCTAGTAATTTGACAACTCGATATTTCACAAAATAGACAAAAGTGATATAAAAAATAAAATTTATTGCATCATCGTTACATTTTCTTATATTTTCTTATTCTATAAATTTCACATATAATTTTCTTCTGATCAATTGTATAACGCACGCATTATTGTATATAACGAGTAATGCAAAAATTTCTGCATAAATGTCGATCTATTTTTTTTGGATTGGCAAAAACATGTGTGAATAAGCTCGAAAGTCCTTTCTAACGAAATGCTCAAAAAAGTTCTATCATTTCAATACTGTACAAACTTGATTACAAAACTATGCGCTATTGCATTAGATAGTGTAATCGGCAATTTGAAAAACAATGATATAAGAAATAATGTCAAAATTAAATGTGTAAATGGTGATGAGCCGATAAAAGTTTTCGAGATTTGAATAGAATCATTTTTAATGAAACCATTTGAAATGATGGCTATGAATGACCCGAGATATTTGCTTTATGAATATGTTTGCGTCAATGATTAGAAATGAGAAAATCGAACAGCAAGTCAAACAATACAAACATCAGTCTAAAAAGACTAGAGATTTGAGGGCAAGTTTTATTAATGTTATTTCAAAAAATTTCATAGGATTTTGCTGCGCATGACTTGTTGAGAATAGAGACAGTAATCTGATAGAGAAAAGATAAAACACCATCTTATGAAATCAACTGTAAGAAATTGCAGAATATTGCGAGATCGGTAACTTCCGTGACATTCTTTTCCTTTTATAGACCATATTTTAATGTAGTTTAGAGACATGCTACTTACTGAAAAACAAGAGTATTTTAGGTGATGGAAAATGAACTGATATTTATGCAGAAACTTTTCCATCATCCATTATATTGTTATTTCTTTTTATTATTCTTCCAAATATTAAAAAAAGACTTATATTTAATTGAGCAATAAAATAATTTAATGAAATTTAGCAATAATTATATGAAACGAGCAATAATTATATAGAATGAGCAATAATTTATTTAAATTAAAGGTAAATCTTATATAAAAAGGCTGTTATAGTGTGTCTTGCTTGTATATCTTTTTTTTCCTTTCTTATCTTCTACGATGTTGCATAGATGACAAGTACGACATATATATGTTGAAGTTGAATTTAAAATTTATTTTGAAGTCAACTAATTGATTTTAAAATATTTTAAAGTCAACTAGTCGCCTTTAAAATGGGACCAAATTTTAAAATCAATTCCAATATATACATATATCTTATGTTTTCTTTCTCTCACTTGAATATTTCTCTTCTCTTGATGTTCTTCAGGTATATTTTCTTCTTCGTCATGTTTTCTTTCTAAGATGTTTGGTTTTTTCGTAGCTCATTCATATATATATATATATGAGTGAATTGCAACTTTTTGGTGTAATTGGATTTTAGCTGTATTTTTTGAATAACTTTTTTTCTGGTTGATCAATTTTTGATAATTGTTTTCTATTTCACTAATCCCTTAAGTGCCCCACACCCATACAAGGTTTCAGGTGACTTATGAAAGACACATTGTGAAAAAAACGTCATTTTTCGATGACATATACGAAGAAAAGAGAGTTTTTTGGCTATAATGAAACAAAAGAAAAAGAATACAAACAGGCTAGTTTGTAGAACGTTCGACACTCTATTGAAATATGCTGTTCGTTTAAATTATATTCGTTCTTCATCCACTCACCTAACGTTCATATTGTTTGACAGACACTTGTACAATATTGTGTAGAGTGACGGAAACGCAATTCTAACCTCACTTGATGATAGAGCTAACGGTCTTTAGATTATATTAAAAGAAAGAGGGCTCTTTATCTCACAAATTGATAAAAAGAAGTTCTTACTTATCAACTTTATTTCTGATCAAAAATAGCAGAACTTTTGAAAAGCAACATCATTATACTCAGTTTGTAGAGTGACGATTTCTATGCAAATATGTTCAGTTGAATATGCATGCAAATAGTCTGTTCAGTTAGAATTAAACTCGGCAGATTGCAGCAACCAAATCTATATATTATGAGATATTTTTGACTACTGATTCTCTTCGTAATAGTGATGATATTACTCAAGTGTTTTTCTCTGTGTGCAAGATAATTCATCACTGAATTTAACAGGAACTGAGCTATATATCGTGTATCTTGCTTAATACTCAACAAAATGTTGGGAAAATTTTGCTGTGTACTACAGCCATAGAGCATAATAAAATGTACTACTTAAAAGTTGTTTAGATTCACTTTCATTTTTTTTTGTGTGAATTATACCAAAAAGTTACAATTCACTCATATATACAAATATGTATTTTTTCAGTTTTACGCAATAAAAAATATAAAAAGAAAAGGAGACAGACTATCTAAGGCAAAAAAAAGCTTTATTTACATAATAATATACTGTTTTTTCAGTTGTAAATAACTTTTTTATTCCTCTAATTCATATAAATATAGTTTTTCTTCGTTTTATTGCTAAAATATGAAATTACTATTGCTACTTAATGAATTAGTTATTGTACATTTAATAATATAAAATTACTCAAATAAATACTAGCCTTAAAAAAACATGATAATCAGGAAACCGAAAGTAAATGAAGAATATGACAAGCAGTGTTTTT